TGGAAGTGGCATAATGATTAGTGGACATGTGGTCCTGTCCAAACCGTCCACAGAGACACCTGGTCCACACCCAAAGGTCCTTGAAGTGTGAAAAGACGAACAGCAGAAGCATGACAAGTTATCACCCAGGTTCTTGGTGGCCACACTCAAACCAGCCATCAACTTCACAATGATACTGACAGAATCAAATCTTTATCACCAAAACTGTTCACAGGCAGAGGGAATATGAAACCAATAATCAGGTCAATATATATTGACAGCGATGGCTCATCGACTTCAGAGTAACCCTGCTGAACTTCCTGACGAGGAAACCCCAAGCATCAACGCAAAACCCCAAGGTTCCTCATGAGTTATAAGAAAAATAATGTCCATACAATTTAAACAAGGTTTGTATTCTGTAACGAATCATGGACCAAATGTCATGGGTCGAATGTCTCCGTGGATAGGACCAACTGTCTTGCAAGGGGCAAAACAGGATAGGAAGGCCTATTACAAAGTCCTGAGTGCCTCAATTTAAGTACAGTCAATGGGAATGGAAATAAGAAACTTTTATTCGATAAATATTTGAGGCCTCCAAACAAAGCACAGTGGTAGTGATCACAGGGTTATTGTCAACTGTTGATAGGAAAAAAAGGAACAAGGGTCAGAAATGCTCCACGTGGCATTAAAAAAATGAGTTCATCAGTAAAAATTATTTAAATGTCCCACCTTTCAATTATGACCCCAAGGATCTTCCCAGGGTTGGTTCACTTAGGACTTGTTCCACCCATCCCATCCCTACCCCCAAATTCCCAAAGTATCTGTAGTACTATGGGGTGGGGGTGAATGCAGCGTCCCCACAGTACTCTGGGCACACTGGGAAGTTAGGGTATCCCGCCAGCTACTGAGCGTGGTCTCAAGGGCTACGGTGATGGGCTGGTTCCGCTGGAGCCAAGTGTCAGTTCCAGCCCCACCCATCTCAAGTTGCAGGTACCTTCCCCAAGGGAGACTGAGCTGTGAGCTGGAAGAACAGTGAGGCTGATAGCAGGAGGGGCTGATTCCCAAGGGACCCGCTCGCTGTACAGGGAAGGATGGAACAAAGAGCTTGGAGCCCCTCCCTGACCTTGGGGAGGAGCTCAGGTTTCCAGGTCCTCCCCAGGGGAAGGGTTGGGGAAGGGGCTGGGGGAAGCTGATCTCTCAGCTTAAAGAAAGCTTTCTCCCTTGTCACGTTCGTGACCTGTCTCAGATATCTAGCTCAGTTCTATTAATTCACTGTGAACACAACCAACCCGAGCTCAGACTAGACTTTCGACCCTCAAGGCCACAGGAGAATTAAGTTACAGTGAGTGCCTATCATAGCCCAGGGTGGCTTTTAAAAAAACAAAGCTCTGTCTCGTCCAGGGGAGAGCACTTGCTCTGCATCCCTGCAGGGTGTGTGCGCAGGGAAGGGGACAGGCAGGTGACAAGTGGGTGGAGTGGTTTGGAAGCTCTAACAGGACTGCTCTGGATCCCTTCCCTGGCTGCGGGCGCTCAGGGACCAGTGTCACCATGATCCACTTCTGTCTGGCCCACACAGCCTACCACTTGCACTGCTGGCTGCCGAGGTCTCATCAGCCCAGGCTGTAAGTGTCCCTCCCTAACCCACTGTGACAAAAGTTCATTTCTTACTGAGGCGATCTTGTAGTTCAACTGATCTTTACTTTCAATTTTAAAATCATTGACCCTCTTAGGCTTTGTAAACAATGAAACATTTTATAAACATTAAGCCACTTTTTAAAACATTCGCTTTTTCAAAAAGAATAGTAATTGTTTGGCTGTTTTCGTCACATTTCAGGATGCTATGTTGGCTGACTTAAGTAATGGGATTGACTTGACGATCTCTGGAATTTATACCTCTAAAAAGATGCTATTCCTTTCAAAACAATAACTTTAAGCGTGTAACTATACTCTAGTTCTTACAATGTGCCATAGCTTTAAATAGTCTGGGGGTATATTTTGAAATTGCCTATTGTTTTGAGTATCTTCACTGTGGACAAATCTTTGTCTTTGGAGGGTAAATTTGACTTCTACAAACACCCAAAAGTCATTCTGTGCTAAACCCAATTAATAAAATAAATAATCAAGGTGACTAACAGAGTTTATGGTGAAGAGATAGAACTATTAGCTAGAACTATTAGCTAATGAGGAAGATTTTCTTATATGCGTGAAAACTATATATTGGGTTGTCAGAAAAGTCATGATGTATTTTTTCTATGTTTTTCATTGCAAAAATGCGTCATGACTTTTCCGACGACCCAATACATGTAATCACAAAAGAATTTCAAAAACGTTTGAGCAGTAACAGCAGACTTCACTTGGTTGTGTAAGTGGCGGTGGATAGTTTAATCTTTAGTTTATTAGTTACACTCAATGGGAACCATCTGATCTCCATCCAGATGCTAGCACAGCCTAATGGCGTGGTTCGGACCCTCAGGCCTGGTTCAAATTCTAGTTCTACACTTACTACTAGGTGTTTGTCCTTGGAAAAGACACAAATGGAGTCTGTTTGCTCATTTATAAAATGGGGAACCACAGTCCCTACCTCATAGGATTTGTGTCTATTAAATGAGAAAAAGGCATATAAAATGTTTGACACATTTGTCTACTAATTATAAATATTAGGAACTCATGTGATTACTTATGGATTGCCTTAAAGCATTAATTTACAGTCATGATAAAGGAACCAAGGTTCTAAAGATTCCTCAGAGACCAGTATCAAACAGTACCTGCTACAAAGTAGGAGCTCATTAAATGGTAGCTCTTACTAATACTCTTACTAAAGTATTCTTACACATAATTTTGCCCTAAGAGGATCTCAATTCATCCTTGTTATGTTTAAAACTTAATCTCTGTGGTGTGATGTAACATCATCCGGAAACAGAACCAGAATTTGGTTTCACGAAGCCATTTTATCACTGAACAGTAATGTAAAATGTAACTTTCTGTGTCCCATGCAGCCAAGTGACAGTATTCTTGCTTGGGATCACCACCCTGGCTCTCCAGTTTTACGTTCTGCTAAGGTAAGTTCTCGCACCAGCCCACCCCTCGCCTGGCAGCTCAGCATGTCTGCGTCTTCCCTGCGGAGACGATTCACGTGCTCTCTGCGGTTCCTGTCCTGCGTCTAACTGTAGCCTGTCCCAATGTGCTTGCCCCTGTTATCAATGGCAGTCACCTGCTTCACCTCTTTGAAAAGTCAAAAATCTCGATACAGTGAGAATAGCTGCATTGGGGCAGATCGAGTTTAACTTTTAATCAACACTTTTCCTTCTTGTGTAAGAGGCCATTAAATGGGAGACTAGGGCACCAATACTTCGATCTATGTGTCCCCTAGAGACCAGTCCCAACAACGTAGTATTAGCTAATGTCTGAGAGCAACAGGTGCACTCGACCAGATTATGACTTGATAGGTGATTTCAGATGCTATGTTGGAAAGTAGTCTTAGCGGAACAAGCCAGTCAGTTAATCACTTCCTCCTTGGGCAGATGAAGCAAACGCAATTTGATACATTCAAAATAAGAAATTGCAGTTCTAAGAACGCTGATAGTCTAAAAAAAAAAACCTGAGAACTGAGGATCCACTTAAGTGACGCAGAAGAAATGGAAACTGCGACACTCATTGTGATCAGTCTAATTCAAACTCGCCAGCTTCTCTCTATAGACGGTATTAATTTATAGTCACGGTAAAGGAACCAAGGTTCTTCAGGGAAGTGAGTTGCCTGGAGCCAAATGAGCCTAGTGCCAGAATTAGGATTAGAATGCAAGGGTTGCAGTGCCTTCTGGTATTATGCTTATAGAGTGGATTTCTTCTAATAGGTAATTAATTAATGTGTGACCCAGTGTATTGATTTCTAGGCCCAGGTCTTCTCGATACTGCAATCAACCTCTCCTTACCAACTTGGTTGGTAATATCATCTTTACTTTCTTCACAATTGGTAAGTGCAGTCTTTCTGTCAAGCGCTTTTTAAGTGCCTACTACGTGCCAGACGCTGTTAGAAGAAAATGGAGAAGATAGAGCTTCCTGTTTCCAGGAGCTCACAGACTAAAACTGACATGTTTAAAATTCAGGTGAAGGAAATTTTTAAAACTTCCTGAGTTACCCTTTAGTTCTACAACTTGAATATGAAACCAAATTAAGTTAAATATAAATATTTTGTGTTGGCGTCATAAAATTCTTTCTAGTTATAATCTAATAATAGCAGATATAATCGCCCATTCAATAGTTACCAGGCAAGACACGATATGGGTAGAAAAACAGGGACCCTGACGACTTGAAGTCAAAAAAGTGATACAGAAGAGGCAGGCTCTGAAGTGTGGAGATGTTTGAAAAATGAAAAACGAATTACTGAGTGCTGTGGGCACTGTTCTAAAAAGAGTCTCGCACAAAATCACGACTCCCCAGAGGCAGCTACGTCATGGTGAGGGGCACTGGCTTCAGGGCCGGGGGAGGCCGGTTCAAACGTCCACTCCACACAACGGGAGTTTTTCAGCCTCTCTGAGCTTCCCCCTCCTCGTTTGTTTGTTTGTTTGTTTATTATTTAGCTGAGCCATCCTGCCACCTGTTGGCAGCTCAGCAGCAGCTCAGCTCGGGCCAGGACTCAAACTGCTGTTGCTCAGAGCTTGCACTCTTGAGTGAGCTCTTGAGCGAACTCTTCACCAACTGAGCCACTTGGCCGGCCCTCCTCCTCCTCCTCATTTATAAAAGGGAGATAAAAATACCTGCCTTGTGTTGTGTTGTGTTGCTGGAAGGTTTAAATGAGAACATGGGGAAGTTATTCCAAGAAATCGTCAGTTATTATCACCAGCATTGCCAATGAGAAGAACACGACCAAAGGAAACGTTAGCTGGCTAGATTTGGGGCATTTTTGTTCCACCGCAGGAAAGCGAGGAGACACATTCTACTTAAGTTTGCAGTTGAGAATGTATCTTTGAGATGATGAAACGTGGTGACCTGATGCTGTCCTGCCATCCTTTTAGGTTTTACTGTGCTGCTGACTCAGATGGAACCGGTCCCACAAGCACTCAGGAGGATGTTTTCTGGGTTTGGTGTGGGATCCTTCGGTGAAGGAGTCTGCACCGTCGTGTTGACAGTTTTGGCAACTGACTGTGTAGGTTTTGAAACAATGACTTTCTAAAAGCTCACCTTCATCAGAAAGCTTGGCTGCAGACCATACACCGTTAGTCTGTGATATGTATTTTCTACTTACACTAAAACTAGAGATGGAGAGAGAAAGAATTCCTAATTAGACACATGTCACAATTAAAACATTTCACCAGGGAAAGTTAAAAAAAGTTCCATGAGATTTTTCTTTTTGTGGGTGAATTCCACTTGACTAGAATTTAAAAAAAGAAGAAGTGAGGATATTAATCAACAGCAGAACTGTTGGGCTGGGTGTGGCACAATGATCAGCAAACCTTCCATCTCTTGCTAAGTCGGAGCCTTTGTTTAAATGCTTGCAGCGAAAGCATTTTAAATACGTGTCCCGACACAAAGACGAGTATTCCTCACAGGGCTTTTTTCCTCCCAACTATAGGAAAAAACGACTCCTGAACTTTACTACTTGTCTGTGGTGCTGGCAGTGAGCAGCTTGGTTTCTACAGGTAAACCCCAAACTTCCCAAGTAACTCCTCTTTGTCAAAGGCTTACCAGTCGGTAAGTGACTGCTCAGCGAGGGCTGTTACATTGCAAGGGGAAACCCAGGCTCCCCTTAAAACAAGGAGTGAGTAGCAAAAGCAAGAGAAAAAGCAAAGAGAGTTAGAATGGGATATAAAAAGCCATTCTCACATTATTTTCACTCCATTTAATTAGACCCCACTCTTCATCCCACAGTGCTTTTCTCAGGCCTGGGACTAATTTGGCTGTGCAGTGTGACCTGTCCAAGACCAGACGCTAAACTAACAGCCTGAAGCTGGCATCTGAGCCCTGCTGGTCTCCTGCCTCGCAGCCTGTCCCAGCAGCACTGCCACCTGGCAACTGCCAGCAAGCACATGACCATCGCCTACCTTGCTATCCCCACATGAAATGGTCACCTGAGCATCACAGCTGCAACAGGACACACATCAAAACCAGTCCTTTGGAAGAACACTGCCTCGAAGTATTAACGAGTACTGACAATGGATAAAAAGAAACAGTTCAACCAAAATCACAGGACTGACATCACAACCAAATTCAACCCAAATAAAGATCTCCTATTAAAGTAACTACTTTCAAAATCAGTACTTTGACTTTCTGAAACTCCTTTTTTGTTTCAATGAGGTTAGTAGCACCAGCTGCATAGTTGCTATAGAAGTAAGTATTGAAAAGGAAGAAGGAAAATATAAATCTTAGTAATGAACACAGGTTTAGTTTCAAAGGAACAGTGATTCAGACTGTATATTTGAACAAGGTCAATTTATTGCTTCTTTAAAAAGGCAGTGGGAAATTTTACAGCAAAAATTGTCACAATCTCCTCCCTGTGTTACAACAATCTTTTGCATCGTTACAGTTGTTATCTAGAAAATAACCAACTGACCCACATGATGTTTTGTCTTCTTAATTTTTCTGTGTATTCACAGACAGATTCTAAGGTATTTTAAGTAGGACCTTACTCACAGATACTCTCAATGGCTTTAGGAAGTGGAGACAACTTCATTTCTGGAGGAAAAGACACTGTCCATTGGTGGGAGGAACAAATTCAATATAAACGTCTCCCAACACATCTACGACAGGCACAGACATTCACAGTGAAAATGACTGTTTCCACCTGCTTCGTTGTGCTGGTGGTACCTGCTGGAGGGGAAGCAACCTAACACACATACTACCCATCTTCCACACTGGCACTTTCTAGCACCTTCCACATCCCAGACATAGCGCTACAACTCAGAAATTAGCAACCCAAGTAATGCATACATTAACAATGAAATCCCCTGAAATAGCTCTATTACTATGATTAACAGGAATGACTTATAACATTATTGATTATATTCCCATACTGTATTTCATATATAAATATATAGTCACAGGATGTGGAATGCAGCATAAGGAAGACAGTCAATGGTATTGTCACCACTATATATGATGTTAGAGGGGTATCACTTTGTGAGGGGTGTAAATGTCTAACTATTACGTTGCTTTGTAAACCTGAAACTAATAAAGAAAAAAACCAAAAAACCCCAGCAATGATTTAAAAATAACACAGCCTTTTACAATCTCTAGACCTCATTAACCAAATATTAACACATTAGATAAATGTCACCTTATCTCAAGATAGCATTTTTATCCAAAGTTACTTTTTTCCTGAACTCTATCTTGCCCCCCCACTCACCCCAAACCTAATCTACTTCGACATCGCAGCTGATGACAACTGCATCCTTCCAGGTGCCGAGGCCAAGCACCTCCAATCATCCTTACTGCCTTTCTTCTTGTTCCAAACCCCATCAGGAATTCCTAATGGCTCCACCTTCAAAATATATCCAGAATCCAACCACTTTTCGCTATTTGAAAATCTTCAATTGTTTCTAAGTGCAACAGTTTGCTTCTTAAGACCAAGGTTGTATCTTGAAATTATGCAATATTCTTTACATATCTTCAGAAAATGAAACTGTTTCTTAACTGATAAGCTTAAGTTGAAAGCATAATTTGAACCAGCACTATAATCCCTAACCTATTAAACTGAATTTTCATTTTCTTTTATGGTTTTATCATTTCCTCCAAAACCAAATCTGGTTTTACCAGAATTAATTTCATTAAGAAACATGTATTTTATGCTACTGATACCTTACAATATATAAATTATACTCTTTTGAATAGAGTGCTTTTTTGGTAAAAATTATAAATTTCCAAAGTTATAAAATCCTAAAACTGTATTATTTTTTAGCTCCCTCATAATTTAGATAGCTACAATCAGCAATGCTTCCTCATAGACTAACAAAATTCTCTGTTATAACCTATGCTCACTCAGAGAGGAAGAAACTTTTGATGAGCAATTATTTAGTAGGGGGTGCTTTGTTTTAGGGGTTTCTAACCTGGGACCTGGATTTCATTCAGGGTTATAACATCTCTGAAGTTATAAGCAAAATGTTGGGTATATGTACATAATATGAACAGCCTTATGGGAGACTGTCAAGGAGAGTTTGAGAAACTAAAAACATCAAGCATTAAACTCATTAAATTTACTGTGGCAAAAAAACTTGATGGTTGACTTCTGCTGCTTTCTATCTCAGCCAGCCCCGGAAGACAGTTTTTAGGGTCTCCCCCAAACCAGATGAGATACAGAAAGTTTGGATTTTATCCTATAGGGAACGGGGGTGTATTAGGGGGTTTACACAGGGAACGATAAACCAGTGCACTTTCGAATGAATTCTTAGTCACTCATCATGGTTCAGTAAGTACTTCTTGAGCATAACCATGCTGTACATGCTGGGAATAAAGCAGTAAACAAAACTGTCAAAATTCCCTATCCACATGGAGCTTACATTCTAGTGATGAGAATAATAAAAATAAATACATACGATATGTGGTATATTAAAAAATGGGGCAATGAGAAAAACGAAGCAGGGGAAGAGGCTAAGGAATGTGGGAATTCTAGATACAATGGTCAGAAAAGGCCAGAGTAACATCTGAGCAAAGAATTAAAGGAAGCAAGGGAATGAGTCATGCAGGTTTCTGAAGAATGTTCTAAGCAAGGGTGACAGTGCAAAAGCCCCGAGACAGAGTGTGCCTGTCAGGTTCCAGCAGCAGAGAGACCAGAATGGCTGAGGCAGAGTTAACAGAAGAAAGGAGTAGCAACAGATGGAGTCAGACAAGCAACAGGGAGTCACTGCAGGGTTTAGAGCAGAGGAGTGACATGATCTGGCATCATTTTAAAGGATTTCTCTGGCTGATGAAATTGAAGACAGAATGTAGGAGGAAACAGGGGTGAAAACAAGGAGACCAGATAGGAAGATACTCCAATAATGCAGGTGGGAGCTGATGCTGACTTGGACCAGGATGGTAGTAGTGGAAGTGGTGAGAAATTGTTACATCTTAGCTATATTATAAAGGTAGAGCCAATGTCACTTGCTGATGGATAGGACATGGACTGTGAGAGAAAGAGGCGTTATGGATGACTCCAGATTTTTTGGCCTATGCAACTGAAAGAATAGTTACCTTTCACTGAGAAGAGAAAGATGGCCATGGAGTAGGTTTGGGGAAGAAGATCAGTGGTTGTTCATAAAGGAGTTAAATCTGGGATGTCTATTAGATATACAAATGGTGATATTAAGTAGACAAACGGAGAACAGAGCCAACGCCAAGGGAGAGGCCCAGACTAGAGATTTGGGGTCATCTGATATAGATGGTATTTAAAGTCACGAGACTGGATGACATTACTGAGAGAGAGTTAAGATAGAATAGACCAGGCATTACAGAGAGTGAAGACAGAAGGGACCAGACATTACCAAGAGAGACAGTGGAGATAGACTGGACCAGTAGTATGGGCATCATGTGGGGGCTGGGTAGAAATGCAGAATCACAGGCCCTACTCGAGAGCTACCGAATCAAAATCTGCATCTTTTTTATAAAGATTTTATTGCGGAATTGGGGAAGGGGAACAGACAAGTTGCTGTCCTTTTGTTCTTCAGTCTAGTTGTGGAGGGCATTGCTTCACTGGCCCATATTGGTATTACCATTGCGCTCTTCCCAGGTGAGGCAGATCAGTCGCTGGCCTCTGGACAGCCGCTCACGGCAGCTCTTGGCAGCTCACACAGGCTGCTGGCCACTCACGCTGGCTGCCGGCCACACACGGTAGCTTATGGCAGCCCACTGCAGCAGGGGCTACAGCCTAAGCCATCACTGGCGACTCATGGCAAACCAGCTCTAGGTCGAGCTTTTGTTCACCATCTTAGCTGTAGAGGGCGCAGTGTCACTGGCCCTCATGTAGGATCCGAACCAGCGTCCTACTGCTCAGAGCTGGCGTCCCAAGCCAGCTCTTAACCAACACGCCACTCAGCTGGCCCCAAAATCTGCATCTTAACAAGATCCCCAGGTGATCTGTATGTATGCATCTTAAATCTTTCACTGCATTAAGTGATTTCAAGTTTTTTTTTCTCAGCGTCAAAAATCCACAAAAAATAAAAAGTTGATATTTTGACTATTTTGTACATTTAGTAACATTATGTACATAACTGCTTTGTACATAAATGACATTATTTTTATTTTAAACCTTTGTTATATGGTGATAAATTTACCATTATATTAAATTTTAGCAAAAAATACTCAAAACATACTAAGTGGCAACAATTAGATGTAAGTATAGATAAATTAGACTCTAATGACACTGACACCATAAAAAACTTATTACCAAATGTTACACGATATAGCATACAAAACATCTTTGTTGTTGATAGTGCAAGCCACAGGAAAACATATCTGAACATTGCAGCAAAAGAGTTAACGTTTTCACGGCACTGCTTTGGAGAATTCTATTGGTCAAGATGAGAGATAATAAAGGGTAATAACAGGAGGAATGATGGCAAAGGTTTACAAGTGGATCAGGTGACTGAATGGAGAGGGGAGGAGGAGGAGCAGGAAGGACATTTCTGACTTAAGTGACTGGGTAAATGGTGTGCCACTAATCAACAAAGAGAGTATCGGAAAGCACAGGTTGGGAGGTGGGGAGGAAAGGCATAAAGAGACAGGCTACAGTTTCATAGGTGTTGAATTTGAGGTACACATAGGATGTCTAAGTAGAGAGAGCTAGTAGGCAAACAGAAATAGACTAGAGGTAATTCATCAAAAAGTTAAACATTAGGTTGCCATATGACTTAGCAATTGTATTCATAGATAACGCCAAAGAGAAATAAAACATATCCACAACAACAACAAAAAAAAAAAAAAAAAAGAAAAGAAATAGACTAGAGCCTGACAGTAAAACCCAGAGCTACTGAACATTATCTTCAATGGGATATCACAGCTAAGAGAAGGTTATTTATTGGATTTGATTTTTTTTTTTGAAGAATAGAATTAGAATGGTGGTAGGTTGAGAGGAAAGCACCATTAGGAAGCCACAGAAGCGGCAAGAATGTGAATGAATTGATCGAGGACGGTCCTTAAGGAAGTCATAAAGAAAGGATTTTAGGTACAAGTTAAGAGGATAACTTAAAAATAATGGGGATATGAAAATATATGTCCACATAAAGAATTGCATGGTTTGACTTTATACATAGTAGCCCAAAACTGGAAACAACTCAAATGTTAATCAACAGATGGATGAATGGATAAGCAAAGTTCAAATAGCCATGTAATGGAATATTACAGAGGAATAACAAGGAACAAACTACTGAAACAAATAACATGGACGAATCTCAGACATTATTTTGAAAGGAGCAAAATATTAAAAAGTATGCACTGTATCATTCCAGTTGTATGAAATTCTAGAACAGATAACTCAATCTATAATGACAGAAAGCTGATCGGTGGTTGCCTAGGGTTGGGAAATTGACAGCAGAGGGACAGAAAGCTTCGGAGTTCCTGCTTACGGAATCCTCCTTTTATCTCATGTGCTTCTAACTGAACGGCAATATATTCACCCATTCTCTTTGGATGGGCCTGTTCCTTATAAATACATATGTATATATCCAATTATGCCTATTTAACTATAATGATGATAATAAGTGACATTCATTGAATTCTTCCTGTGTGCCAAGCAATATGCTAAACACTCATGTAATCCTTACAATACTCCAGTGAAGTAGATACTAGGTATTATCCCCTTTTTTTTTAACAGATGAGGAAACTGAAGCTGAAAGGGGCTGATTAACTTGCTCAAGATCTCACAGCTCGTGGGACAATCTTGACACTAAAAGTTCATGCTTAGCCATTACACAAGACTTACAATGCTACAAGCGATCTTTTAGTAGACATTTAAAAGGGATCCACCTGTTCAGAGACCCTTTGGCTCACAGTACTTCTTGTTAGCCACTCAAGGTTCATCTGCCCCAGCATTTTCCCTACCTAAGTTGGAGCAGCTTACACTCTCTGGGCTCCCATCCCAAGTCCAAGTTGAAGCGCCCCAAACTCCTTCAGAAGCCGGCAGTATTTACAGGCACACCTCATTTTATTCCACCTTGCTTTATTGCGCTTCACAGGTGTTGCATTTTTTACAAATTGAAGGCAAGACCGACCCTCCAGCAGCAAAAAGATTACGACTCACTGTATTGCGATACTTGCTTTATTAAGGTGGTCTGGAACTGAACCGCAATATCGCCTGTATATATATACTGATATCCTCAGGTAGCTATGGTATCTCCAAAGTATTCCTGTATCTGGCTTCCCAGTTATGACTCCCAGTTCTGAGGTTATTTTCCCCAATGCTCTCTCTCGTGACTACCTGCCTAACATATCATTCCTCCTCTTACAAATTCTTCTCTTCTCTCCCTTCTCCACACACCGAGGTCTGGAGTCTATATTTGCTTGAGAACTGGAACCCAAACCGATTTCTCTTACTTATGCACTAAGGATACTTGTACATTATCCATGAACTCTAAAGAGAACCCAAAGGTGTATAAAAACGCCCTCACCATGGAACTATTGGTTCAGATTAAGTCACTGAGAAAGAAGAGCAGGGACAAACAACGCATGTCTAGTGAGGCCTTTCCTCCACAGCTTCAAGGCTGCACGCACGGAAACCAACACAAATGCCTGAATAGAACACTGTATTATCAGCATCAAAGTTAAGAGAAGTACACAGTGAGCAAATGTTTATTCATCAAGTTCTTCAAACGATGAAAGCAGCAAGTGCATTTTTCCAGTTTTGTTTTGTTTGGCACTGACCCCAACTATCTGTTCATCGAGAGTTCCATGTTACTCAAAATGCTGACACTTCCGCACATATCCACATATCAAAATTAGACATAATCACATTAACATAGCCGTCACTTACTTTTACAAGGGGCATTCTGTGGCTCCGAAGCGTTTTGCAGTGTAGGCTATTGGAACTATTCCAACCTGTGTGTCAACAGTCTTGTCTAAATTGGGCTAGAACAGTGGCTTCACATCCAAAACTCTGAAAAACAATTTATGGTTAATAAGTAAGGAATTCTACAATCACACAGAACTGACAAAAAATCATCCACTCTGGCAGAGTTCTACGGTAATCTTAGTTGAAAGTTTGTTCAGGGCGCTTGAAAAAGAATTAGTTTTAAAGAAAACACCTCTAACAATTCGGCCGTAACCCCTAATGTTGTCTTGTGGATTACTGACTCATCAAGAGGGACTGGCAACACCAGAAAATGGTTTCCACCCAATTTCAGAGTAACTTTTTAAAAAGTGCTGCCCCACTGCTAGCAGTTTCCCTCTCAACGGGCATGTGTGTCAAACTGCTTCCAGGCAGGTGGGTCTAGTATTTTATAGATTTGTAAAGAGGAATTTCAGAGGAAAAAATAAGTTGAGAATGGAGGGCTTCCTCCTCCGCCTCCCGCCAGCTCTGCCAAGCTCAAGAAGCCTCTTCTAGAGGAATTTATTTTTTTTAACGTACAGTCACCTGTTCCGAAGCCCCAGAGGCGAATTTACCGAGGTTTCTGGTTCCACAGAGAGATCGAAAGAATAACGGGGCAAGACTTCTCGCCCCAAACTTGAACATGACCTTGACGCGGGCGCCGCTCAATTGACTTTCAAAGACCCATCATCTTGGCCTCCCCTACGCTTGTGACCAAAAGGGGTGCTAGGCTGACTCCCCTAGAGACGGGTTTCTCAGGGACCCCGGAGAGGGGGCTTACCCTGTTCTCAGAGCCAGCGGGACCCGGAGACTACCCGCAGCCGGAACACCAGCTTGGAAACACCCGCAGCCTCCCCGTCATTGGCTCCAGGAATCCGGAAGTGCCTACGTGTGGCGGAAGTGCACCACCTTGTTGCGTCCGCCAGTTCGGGACCCTCAGGTAGGCGGGGCTCCTGGCTCCGAACTCTGGGCCCTGGTGGACAGAGGCTGAGAGGGAACCCCGAGATTCTTAGGAAGTTGTCTAGGTTCTGGTCGGGGAAGGCCGGGAAAGTTTGGGGGGCGGCGGGTTCACGGCGACCTCTGGTGGCAACCGGGGCCTAGTCGAGCCCGGCCGCCTCAGGACCCAAATGCGGGAGCTTCAAATTTCTTCTGTGAAGATGAGGGGTTTGGGGCGGTGGCCGGAGCTGCTCCCTGACCCGCTCCCTTGATGGTTGAGGTCCAAAACGCTGCTTACTTCTAGCCGGGAAAAGGCTGGAACCCAAACCGATTTTGCTCTCCGCCCTTATTTTTTCTGTGCTTCTGGATGTGATAACTTCCCGCAAGGCGTGTGCACAGGTGCGGAGTTTCCCTCAGTTACACTTTCGCCCTCCTTAGGAAAAATGTCAGAAAGGCTGCCAGAGGCGCAGTCGAAAAAGAAAACGGGTTACTCTCCCTCCTCCCCCACCCGCCCCTTGATGTCTTCCTAGAAAGAGAGGGGTGTGTTTCAATTGCAGGCTGCTCGGGTGGAAGTTTTGCGGGCTGCTTTAAACCAAGATTATATATAGTAAATACAACTACTTGTTAATGGTTTTCTTTTTCCAGCCAACTCCACCCCCAGGTGGTTTGAACTGTGAGCTCCTTGTAGTTCGGATGAACACTTTCGCTTTCCTCAAGTTTATGACGCTTGGGATTTTAAGAATTGGAGGTTTATGCAATTGGAGACCGGTCAACCCTGTGCCGAATTCAGAGTGCTGAAAGACAGGTGAGCATGAATGAGCACTTTCCACTCCAGATTACAGTTTTTAGAACCATGTCTGTTGTTTCGGTAAAAGATGCACCACCTTTATTGAATACTAGGTGGTGCCAGCGAGTTAATCTTTCTGGGATAAATCTCAAATAATGTGGCACCAGGTTAAGGTTTTTCAAGTGCCTCCATCTTCCCTGAAATTTATTTAGAATAGCTTTACCTCCATAAAATATGTCGTGTCTTTATATACTTCATCCAATGATGGAATATCTATTCATTATTAAGTGCTGAGGGAACTAAGCGTAATCAGACTCATTTCCTGCTTTCAGAGTGTTTACAGTCTAGAGAGGAAGACGAACAACATGCTATAATGCACTCACATATAATTCAATGCAGAAATAAGTGCTAAATAGAGAATAAGATGTGAAATGCAGTGGGAGTAGCAATCAATTCTCATTCTTATTTTTTTTTTTTTAAGATTTTTTATTGGGGAATTAGGGGAGGGGAACAGACAAGTTGCTGTCCTTTTGTTCATCAATCTAGTTGTGGAGGATGTCGGTTCACTGGCCCATGTTGTTATTATCATTGCGCTCTTCCGGGGTGAGGAAGTCGCTCGCCGGCCATTGGACGGCCGCTCACAGCAGCTCACGAAAGCTCACACTGGCTGCCGGCCAGCCCCACTGCAGTGCACTCCCTCAAGGGAACTCATGGGCAGCCCAGCTCCAGGTCCAGCTGTTCTTCACCATCTTAGCTGTAGAGAGCGCAGCATCACGGGCCCTCATATGTGGGATCCAAACCGGGGCCCTGCTGCTCAGAGCTGGCGTCCCAAGCCAACTCCTAACCAACGCACCACTTGGCCAGCCCAGTTCTTTTTTTTCTTTTTTTTTTTTTAAGATTTTTATTGGGGGGATGGGAACAGACAAGTTGCTGTCGTTTTTTGTTCTTCAATCTAGTTGTGGAGGACATTGCTTCACTGGCCCAAGTTGGCACCATCATTGCGCTCTTCCCGGGCAAGGCAGATCAGTCACCGGCTTCTGGACGGCCACTCAGTGCGGCTGCTGGCCGCTCACGCTGGCTGCTGGCTACACACGGTAGCCCATGGCAACCCACTGCCATAGGGGCTGCAGCCTACACCATCGCCCAGGACTCACGGCAGCCCAGCTCCAGGTTGAGCTGTTGTTCAGCATCTTAGCTGTGGAGGGCAGTGTCACTGGCCCTCATATGTGGGATCTGAACCGGGGCCCTCTGGCGTCCCAAGCCAGTTCTTAACCATCGCGCCACTCAGCCGGCCCCAGCCCAGTTCTTATTCTTTACTAATTATCCAATACTTTCTCTGCCCAGCATTGTGTTGCATGCTGGTATATAGAGAGAAAGTGAAAGCCCTACACTCGATTTACAATCTAGTGATGGAGGAGTGGCGGGCAACCAAGGAAGTCATGGAGAAGGTGAAACTTGAGCTAGACTCTGCAGAATGAATGACTTGGGCTTAATAGGTAGAAAAAAAATGAAAAGTATGGAAGTGCGTGGCATGTTTTGGAACAGCAAGTAGTTCAGCATGGTTAGACTTTAGGAAATTAAGCCTGAAAAGACACTTTCAGTTTTATCTTGGGTTTGCTTTAACTTTTACTGGAAAGTTCAACAGATTTAAAATAAAATTTAAATATGTATTTCCTGGAGAAATTATATAAGAAGCATAGCTATAATTAATTACACTTCTGGCTAACCTATTATACATGAACCAATTATAACTGAAATATAGCTTTAATAAATTACACTTCTGGCTATAATGTAACTCGTTTATGTTTACATATCATTAATGATTATAGATGATTTAAGCCAGTTTTAAAAGATATGGTAGGAAGGATAGATTTTTCACTGATTATATTCTATTTTCAATAGAATGTAAGGAATCCTCTTCACTGACATTTTCATATCAAATAATCTGGTAATGATAATGCGTAGGAAAATTTTAAATGCTTTTATAAGTTACCCTAGGAAAAAAATTTTGATGAATGGTTATACTTAGTATTAGACTTACATTTCCTTTCAGGAAACACATTTTGATTAATTTTTTTTAGAAATATTTAATTGGGGAATTGGGGAAGGTGAACAGTGTGTTGGGGGATTTGGGGAAGGGGAACAGCCAAGTTGTTGTCCTTCAATCTTAGTTGTGGAGGGCGCAGCTAGCTCAGCTGCAAGTCCAGTTGCTATCCGGCCGCCCGTCAGCAGCTCTCAGCCACTCAGCTCAAGGTGCCATGTTCAATCTTAGTTGCAGGTGGGGGTAGCCCACCATCCCATGCGTGAGTCGAACCAGCAACCTTGTTGTTAGGAGCATGTGCTCTCACCAGCTGAGCTATTCTGCCACCTGTTGGCAGCTCAGCAGCAGCTCAGCTCGGGCGCAGCGTCACTGGCCCATGTGGGAATTGATCGGGCGACCCTATTGCTCAGAGCTCACGCTGTTAACCAACTGAGCCACTCGTCCGGCCCTTGATTAATTTTTGTAAGTGGAAAACCATTTGTTTTAAATGCTATAAATGTTAAGGTAATTACATACAATATCAACCAAAATCAGCTTTTCTGTACGCTAGCAATAATCAGAAATTGTAATAACAAAAACGCTATCCCCAATATTTAAAAAAACACAAAGTAGCTAAGAATACCCAATGTTCAAGGCCTTTGTGAAAATTAGAATACTTTTCCTTTTAAAAACAATAAAAGAAAACTCAGATAAATGGAGAGCTATTATTGCTTGATAGAAAGATTAAATTTCAAGGATACAGATTTTTTCTGTATTGGTCTCTAATGTAATCCATGTCAAGATTTCAATTGAATTTTAAAGGAAACTTGACAAACTGATTCTTTTTTTTTTTTTTTTAAGAATTTTTTTTATTGGGGTATTGAGGGGATGGGAACAGTGCTGTGTCACTGGCCCTCATATGTGGGATCCAAACCGGGGCCCTCTGGCGTCCCAAGCCAGTTCTTAACCATCGCGCCACTTGGCCAGCCCGACAAACTGTTTCTTAAATTCATCTAGAAAAGAAAAATGCATAAGAATAGCCAAGAATTATTGGGGGGAAAAACCCATAATAATAAAAGCAACTTCTTATCACTTATCAGTATATACTAGCTCTAAAGCTATAATAATTAAAATAGTGAGGTAAAGCCTTAGGACCAGAATATTATCGATGAAACAGTCTTGAGTCTGTTTGTATTGAGTACATTAAAGGTGGCATAAATAATTACTGACTAGTAAATAGTGTTGGGGCATTGGACTATCCATTTGAAAGAAAATAAAAGTCCCCTACTTCACAGCATTAACAAAAAAAAGTTGCAGTGGTTTCAAGTTTTAGAATACAAAATAGTATGTTTTTTTAAGTCTTGAGATGGTTAGGGCCTACCTTAATGGGGCACAAAACTAAGAAGACTTAAAGGAGATGATAGATAGAATTGGCCAATAAAAATAATTTATCATGACAAAAACACCACAAATGGAGTTTAAAGTCAGGAGACCAGATAGTATTTACGACATAATTACAAAGTCGTCATTTCCATGTTATATAAATCAGTAAGGGAATGATAATCCAGTAGAAAAATGAGCATATTTCCAAAGAAGAAATTCATATCAAAAGTTGTTCATGCCCGTGAGGCGTTAGGTAAATGCACATAAGACCAGCAAGAGTCCTGGAGCATACTTATTAAGAATGAAAAAGGATGTTATACTGAATCTTTGTAAAGCAAAGTCACACCTGATCTGTTTTATGAATCTGTATTTTCATCTATCAAATTTGTTTAAATTAAGATAGACCAATAATGAAGACTTCTAATTAATTTTTCAAGTCAATTAAGACGGCCAGGGGCCGGCCGAGTGGCGCGTTGGTTAAGAGCTGGCTTGGGACGCCAGAGGGCCCCAGTTCGGATCCCACATATGAGGGCCAGTGACACTGCCCT